GGGGGAGTTATTTTAATAGGGGACCCTGACCAGCACCCCGCTAGAAAAACCTTGCTGGATCCACCCCTGATGTGTCCTCCCCAGTCTTTGCTGTGGCGCCACCACTGCACACAGTAAGCATTAGAGTTAGCGATAAGGTTGTGGTTGGTGTCCAGTTCAAAGAGAGATAAATATATTTGTTGATGAAACATAATAATGATATTCAAATTTACTAAGGGAGGAGGCTAATGAAAGAGCAAACTTGGTGTGGGAATTGGGTGTGGTCATTGGCTTTACTGCCTAGTTAAAGACCGCTCTAAATGCAGTTTTTTATAAATGGCGAGATCTGTATTTTTGAACAATTATTACTTGTTTGAAAACAAAAAAATATCTTACTTATGTGAAAGAACATCTAAAAAAATATTTTACAAAATTTCTACAACTGTCGTTGCTATGGCAACAGTGGCGTTTCAATATGGCGGATATTTTGGCTCGACATCGTTGGCTCCCCAATTTTATTTCATAAAATGACTTCTCTTACCATATTGACAATTTGAAATAGTCCGTTGTCCCAGACCGTTTCAAGTTAGGTAAATGCATAGATATCTTATATACACTAGATACTGCGCATCTCTTTTAGTAAAATTGAAGCGAAGAATATTCCAGCGGTTACCCCCATTTGAATAGATGGCGGACATGTTGGAGTTTCCCACTTGCTAATAAACGCTTAAAAAACAACAATAACTTTCATCATTTGAATAGTTTGAAAATGTATTTGGAATAGGTTTAACTTAATGTTTAAGTTGCCTGTTTAAGAAACAGAAAACATACGAGTCTTCTCATTTCATGGAAATATCCCGAGTCTGCAAAAACGGCTTCAATTTTTGAATTGCAGAATAATTAGATGCACTATCTAGTGTATATAAGATATCTATGGGTAAATGTGATTATTCATAATACATTTTTTGTGCTCGAGAGAATTGTTTTTTTTTGTATCTGCGAAGCAGATATATATGCTATTGCACACGTACCGTGACTGTTACCGTATGTTAGCATATAGCCATTCAGCGACGAGCTTATATAATTTAAGCCAATCAGCGATTAGTTTACATCAATTGTTTACATCGTGCCCGCATCTAACCTGCGAACGGGCGTAGTTTGGCCTCGTGTTATTCTTTGCCAATTTCACATTTTGGCTTCAAATATATCTTAATTTTGTCTTGTTTTCACGTGCCATTCTACTTGCGATATTATTCCGAAGTTATCTATCAACATGGAAACTTATCCTCATCTTGTAAGTAGTCAAATACCATATATTTATTATTTTATTATATATTTATACAGTAAAACAATCATTGTGTTGTGTAATATTTTAAACAGTCCAAACACAGCAGGCAATATATTTGTCGATGAACAATGTCACAGGAAACTACTGTAATGTACTCATGAGATATTGAATTAAATCCTGGTCCTGTATTTCTGTAAAGTCCGTAATGTAAACAAACGCTTTTTTTACATTTTGAACTCAGTGCTACATTGTAAAATATGATTATATATATATATATATATATATATATATATATATATATATATATATATATATATATATATATATATATATATATATATATATAGGTAAAGGTAAAAACTGTAGTCTATAAAAGCTATTACACTCTACTAAATTTTATTCTATTCTATTGAACCACACTTTGATTACTGTTGCATTGTTTGGGACTCTATGAGTGATACACTGGCAAATAGAATACAACAATTACAAAACCGGGCTGTTCGTATTATTAGCCGGGCCGATTATTCTGTTAGGTCTGCTGCCCTGCTCGAAAAATTTGGGTTGCCGACTTAGTCTAGGACCTGTATATGAGTTTGTATGCATTTAATTTAGGACAGATAATCTCAACTGTTTTAGGGTAAGTTGACCATGACGGTCAACATGGTAACGCTGCCCGAACCCCAATCCGGGGCGAAACGTCCGAAACTGACCACACCCAAAAACGACGCTTTCGCCATACTGCTATCTACCAAACCATAAAAGCTTTGGCTATTCTGAAGTGCTTATATGGTTCAGAGATGGTACTTTTAGTAGTGGTCATTGGTAAGTGTGAAATGCCAAGCAATAATATTTCACAAGAAAATGGCCATGCAATAATCATAGTTAAACGTCAATTTGTGGCTTGCAAATTCAGATAAACAGCAGTGGACTTACATTACCTTTTTCCCTAAATCTTTTTGATAGAAACATAAATGGTTCTTATTTAAATATATTATCACTGGTTTGGTGTAAAATAGTTAATATTTTCTGACCGAAATAATAATTTGAAATGTGCCTACCTCCTGCAAATGGACGTATTTGGCCAAGTTCTCCACTTTACTCCACTGTTTATCGGCGATCTCGTCGACATCCTACAAAAAATGTAAATCATCTCAGACATAATAG